AATTTTCTGCCCAGAGAACTATGCAAAAAAATTGTGGAGCACACTGGTGAGCTGACAGGTGAACAGGCAGGTACAGCATCACAAAGACCTACTACAACAACAGGAAAACCAAAAAGATGTCAACTGTGCCCTACAAGAAAGGACAGGAAAACAAAACACATATGCTATCAGTGTAAGCAATACTTTTGTATGGAGCATGTAGTTTTCATGTGTGAAGACTGCCCTGAGTGTGACAGTTGAAGCAAAGATTATTTCTGTGGTAGACTTTTGTTTGTATATACATTGTAGTCCACACAGATTTTTTTTCCGATATTTTGTTTTAGCAAGTAAACAGCGGATGTGAAAATGTTGATGTCCATTCCAAGTACTCTTTAAATATTTGATATTTTGTTTTATTGATATCTTATTCTCCCGCTAAGAGCACATCGTAAAATATAGGAGGAAGCTCCTGACAAAACAGGAAGAGAAGAGAGTTGACAAGAATGGCCTGCCACATAGGAAAGGAAAGCTAAGGACATGTGCTGTCAGTGCAAGCGAGACATGTTCATGGAACATGCAGTTGTCATGTGTGAAGATTGCCTTGGGTGTGATAATTGAAGCAAAGATTATTTTGGGGCCAGGGATTTAGCTCAGTGGTTTGGCTGCCTGCTGCGCAAGCACAAGGACCTGAGTTCGATCCCTGGTACCAAAAAAAAAAAGATTATTTTTATTGTAGAGTTCTATTGGTATTTTCATTGTAGTTCACATAGGAAATTATTTCTGATGTTATCCTTCAGGTTGTGTAAGCAACTATACAGCTGATATGAAATTGTTGATGTTTATTCTAAATGCACAGTACATATTAAAAATTTTATAATTTATTTTATTGATATTTTATGTTCCTGTTAACTACACATTGTATAATATAGTAAGAGCCTCCTGACGGAACAGCAAGACCAGAGAGATTTCAAGTATGTCCTACCAAAGACCAAGAAAGCAAAGCTGTCAGTGTAAGTGATACATGTGCATGGAACACGCTGTTTTCATGTGTGAAGACTGTCTTAGGTGTGATAATTGAAGCAAAGATTATTTTCTGTAGAGTTCATTGGTATTTTCATTGCAGTTCATACAGAAATTTATTTCTGTGGTTATTTTTTATACTTTCTACATCAAAAAACAGTTGATGTTGAAATTTTGATCCTTTTGTATGAACACTTCATAACTATTAAACATTAAATACCTTTTAATTTTTCTCTTGTTAAGTTACCCATTGTTTAATATAATAAAACTCATATAATTAAAATTAATAATTCATCAATAGAAATATTCTAAATCATAAACATGGGTATTATACACCCAAGTTTCTGCACCTTTATGATAAAATTGACATTATGCCCCTCATTAATCTGAGGAGAGAGACCTGGCACCATATCTCTTTCCCCTTTATCTCTTCCTCTCCTTCTCAAGAAGAGCCCTTTGGGCTTTGGTGTTAACCACAGAAAGTGCACAGCAGAGGGGAAACCCAAGCAGGGCTGGAGCTGGAGCTTAAAATCACATCTAAGTCCCACATTGCTCTCATTGCTGCCTTTCCTACTTCTGAACACAAATTTCCACCTTCCTGATTGAGAACTGCAATGTTATTATCGTGATAGTCAATGAGATGGTAATAGAGTCAAGACAAGCAATGATATTTTGAACACCATATTATGAAGACCATGGTAGAATCAGCTAACTTATTAAATCCAATCTGCACAAAAAAATAGCTGCCAGGTCATTTGTGCTTGCTATATGCCAACTACTATTTTAAGTAATGTGCTGGTGTTGACTTGTTCGGTGTTTACAGCAACACTAGGGTTTGACTCATTTGAAAGAGGAAAAAGATCTAAGGACAACAAGGATACTGTATGAATTTTTCAAGTTTCTCTACTAGTAAGTATAATTATGATTTGTAAAAGCTGGAAATCTGAACCACTACCCTTCATTACTGTCTCAAAAGTTCCAAGGAATTTCAGAGCATTATTTTTAAGCATTTATGTTAAACATACATCAATGGTTCATGTTAAATTTTCACATTTGAACTGTAATTGCTCTCTCAAGCCCTAAGTAATCACACAGCAGATAATTTACTGAGTAAGGGGCCCAGCCTTTCTCCCTCTACCACCCAAACAGTCCTGAAACGTTAACATGAACAGGTATGATCCTGTTCCTATTAAAATTCATCCCAAAAGTTTTCTCATTCTCATCAGCAACCATTTCTGAGAGTCTTTTGTGCTGCCTCTTGAGACCTTGTTTACTTGTCTATACCCTCTTCTATCATACTCAGTCTGACCTTTGCTTCCTTCCCTTCCTTTATCCCTCTCTTCGACTTGTTAACAGTCCTCAAGATCAGAGCTAAGCACAAGCATCAGACACATATGCCAGTAGAGTAAATCAGTGGGCTCCTTGGATCTCCTGAATCTCTCCCCACTCAGCAGCAACACATGTCCACCAGCAATTCCGGGTCCTCCCAACATAGAATCTTTGTGAACCACAACAGAGGTTGAGAAGGGACAGTAACAGAGTGGAACATCTTATCACTGCCTGGAGCTACAAATACAGGATAAGGCTGTCTAAAACCATCCACAAAGCCAACTATCCTCCATTGAGTTGGTTCACATAGGGAAATTCTGTAGGCTAGTGGCTGAAGGCATGGGCCTCAGACTCAAACTATGTAATCTGGAATGTTAGTGCTGCCCTTTGCCATGTATGACGCTGGCTAAGCAACTTGACTGTCTGAATCTCTGTTGTCTTCACATAGAGATAGCTTATAAAACCCTCAGCTCCACACTTGGTGAGAATATATTACTGTCAAGCACCAGCAGTTATTACTTAGAGTCATAGGGCTTTAGATTTCTTGATCTTTTAGAAATCAACTCCTAACTCTTATTGATTTATCTGAGAGAACATAGCAGACTTTCCTACTCCATGCCAGCCTGTCCAGAATCTGACTTTATGTTTCATTTAAGAAAAGCTAGTGTTTGTAAGATGTTTTTCATCACGAGGTGCTGAGCTATTATAGATCCTGTCCTCTTCGCCGGGGCTAAAGACAGAAAACTAGACAGGATTAGGATTCCAGAGATGGCTATGGAGCACCGGGGAGCAAATAGCATTCACCTCAGCCTCAAAAAGACAGTTGTGGGCAGTGAAGTAATCATCCACACACAGACCTGGAATGTGAAAAACAAAAACACAGGGCCCTGTTGACCACAGAATTCATCCCTTCAATTCCTGGCCACCTGCAGGCTGATACAAACAGGTCTAACGCAGACTAAAAAGGCCTTGTACACAAATCAATGCATAGAGCTCAAATCTTATCCTTTAAAAGTCATTTAGGGGTTGGGGATTTAGCTCAGTGGTTTTGCCGCCTGCTGCGCAAGTAGAAGGACCCGAGTTTGATCCCTGGTACCATAAAAAAAAAAAAAAGTCATTTTAATTCTGAAAAGCTAGGAACATAAAGGAAAAGGCGAATTTATACTATTCTCACAGTACTGGTCCAGTCCTATGGACCCTCTGAGCACCTTTTCTGATCTGGGGAATAAATGGAATGTGATTGGTATCTCTTCATCCACAGCAACAGGCACAGAGAGAGTAAATCTTCCTGCAGGCCAACAGCTGGGGACTGGCATGGATGCAGCCTTGTTCTACTGATAGACTCAGAGCCTTTTCGGGACCTGGGGAAGCTGGTAGAAGGATACCTCTCATTCACTGTAACCTTGCCTGCTCCAAATTAAGTGTCTTCACTGCTAGCTCCTGTGTCATCCTCTTTTTTCAGCTCTCCACATCCCTCTCCAGACCAGTCTTTGCCTGTACCAAAGACTTCTGGAAACAGGCAGCTCGGGATGAGGGGTTTTGCCTTCCTCTCCTTCTCCTTCGGATCATAGTTTACCATTTTACCCTTGTAGGAGCTCTTCTGGTGTATATGGGCATCTTGTTTTTCTCTTCAGGTTTATCTCTGCCAAGTTTCTTCTGTCTTTTTAGTAAAACCATAGAGGTTTCTCCTCCCACCACACACACAAAGCAGTTGGGAAAACATTTTAATGATCTCCAACCACAACATCACATCTGAATGTCTGCAAAGAAGAAAGCTTTAGGGACCCACAGAGGGAAGCTAAATTCTCAACCTGACCTAACCCTGAGAGGAAAGTACAGCCAGCTACTGCCAAAGCCAGAGTCAGAAGCCAGACTCAGTTTCAGCCCAGCCCCTTGCTTCTAGGGAAAGGCTGTTTCGATGCCCTCACCTCTGTTCAATAACATTTAATAACCAATCTGTGAAGCACCACGACGATGCTGTGTGTGTGTGCGTGAGTGTGTGTGTGTGTGTGTGTGCTCGCGAGTGTGTGGTGTGTCAGGGTTAAGGAATAGCAGCCTGCATTTGCAAAGGAGAACAGACCAATATATTTCATTCAGTTCAAGATGCAACAGGAAGTCCAGTTGTGGGGAGACAAATTCTGGATTTGCTACGTGATGCTCCAGAAACTCCGTTTCCCCTTTGACTGTCGGGTTTCCTAATCCAGAAAGTTGGAAGACCTCCAGGCCCCTCGGAGAGAGAGAAAGAAATGTCACCCAGGACTCCGAAGGGACAAAGAGGGCAGAGAAAAGAGGGCGGGAGGGAGTGGACACAGGAACAGGGGACGGAAGGTCTGTCAGGGACCCAAGGCAGGGGCGGCTCAGAAGAAGCGGTTTGGGGAAAGATACTGAAAAAGTGAAAAGCGAAACTGCGGCTCTTGTGGGCTGCACAGATTTGTGAGTTTGGGGTGCGCTTGCGCAGGCCCGATAGTTTTGGGGTAACTGCGGCGGGAATGAACGGAGAGCCCAACCAGCGCGAGGAGGGAGAGGGGCCTCGGGCAGGGGCGCAGGCTGAGCAGGGGGAGCCCCGCCCACCAGAGCTCCCCGCCGCCTCCGCGCCCCGAAACCGCCAGGGGGCGCGCGCTGCCAGGCAGGGGCGGAGCTGCTTTAAATCGCGGCGCCCCGCGCTTGCAGGGTTCAGTCCCCAGCCCGCGAGCAGCCGTTGCTTCTCTCCTCTGACCCCAGCGCCAGCTCCGACCGGGACACGGACCGGCCCCAGAGCCCCTGCAGCAGCACAGCCAGCAGGAGTCCCCGCGAATTCTCGCTCGGCTCGGGCCCCGCCACCACCAACAGCCCCGGGTGCGCACCTGTGAACTCTCTGCCTCCTGCACCTGCCACCTGAGCGCCCAGCGACCATGGCCAACGCCGGGCTGCAGCTGCTGGGCTTCATCCTGGGCTTCCTAGGCTGGATCGGCTCCATCGTCAGCACCGCCCTGCCCCAGTGGAAGATTTACTCCTATGCCAGCGACAACATTGTGACCGCCCAGGCCATCTACGAGGGGCTGTGGATGTCCTGCGTGTCGCAGAGCACGGGGCAGATCCAGTGCAAAGTCTTCGACTCCTTGCTCAATCTGCACAGTGAGTGCACCCTAGCCCCGCTGCCAGGCGCTGCTGATCGGCCCCCACCCCACCCCACCCACCCCACCCACCCCACCCGTTATGGAGCTCTTCTGGTGACCTGGTTATCCGTCTACAGGTGACCAAGTCTTCTGGGCACTCGCTGTGTTGTGAGGGAGAGAAGAGAACCCTGTCTCAGGCAAAGAGAGACCCAGGCCTAAGCTCCAGCTTCGCCTCTAACCCCCTGAGTGATCTTTTGCTGCCCAGCCCCCTGGTGTGGCTTCATTTTAAGTTCCTTAGAGGCTAGGTGGAGATGGGGAGCCTGAGGGTCACACTCAAACGTGAGCTGCTAAGTGTCTTCTGGACTACGATTCTGTGTAACCTCAGGATCGGTAGGGCTGGAAGAAGACCGTCCGAAAACATCACATGAGGACACATTTATAAGTGAAATCTTTTCCATGACTTTTCATTAAAAAAAATGTAAAAGCCACGTTCCTACTTATATCCCATCTCAGTTTCTTCAACTCTCATTTGAAGTTGAATCTTTTGTTTCGATTGATTTTTAAGATCCAGTCAGTGCAGGGCAAATCCTTGCAAGACTTTGAAGACTCCTTTTGAGGTAGATCCAAAGGTTGAGCTCTGAGCTCAGAGTCTTCAGAAGAGGCAGAACGTATTGCATTATTTTAGGAAGGAAAAATGTTCAGATATGTGGGCAAAGAATGAGAAGCCAGAAAGGTCCCAAGTCGGAGGGAAGAGTTCAGGCGACAGGGAGGAAAGCAGAGTTGGCTCAAGAAGGAGCAGGTGCAGGATAGGAGAGGTGGCCTCCTACTTCCCACCTTCCACGGAGGTTTCTGTGTGATTGATGCTGGCTTCCCATTTGTCTGGTTGGGAAGAATTATGGCGAGAGAAGTATTTCAAAGGATGCTGCTGAGAGGGATGACAGGATGGGTCCCAGTAGCCCTTTTAAGTAAAATGTTTTCAGTGGCTTGTTGGGAAATCTTAAATCCCTGCTTAGGTGATAAAAATTGGTGATCGCATGATCTTCACTGAGAGATCGCATTAGCTGTTGTGGACCTTGTAACTGTTACACCCCTTCACCTACTTGAGGGAAAGCTTTCTCGGCTTTTGCTTGGATAAACAAGATGGTCTGCCACTCCCAGTTGTGTGCTGAGCATGACCGGTGCTGACACTCTTCAGGCCTGGCTTTGTTCACCTCCTAGTGAGGAGCAACTTTTCCTAGAGCACGCTAAAAACCCTAAGTTCAGAGTTACCAAACCCAGTCCAGATCCGAGTGGACATCATGAACACCTGTAGTTTAGCCAGTGAGCGTGGTGGGTTTGTGTATTGTCATTTCAGCTTTTCAAGGTTACCACATCAGAACTCTTCTATATCAAAATTAACCAGTCAGTTTAGTAATTGTGTGCTGCTTATTGACTTCCTGGGATATATGTCTACTCCTAAAGTGAATAATTGGTAAATAAGTATTGGATTGCCACATGGAAAGAGAAATACATATAAGGAAACAGTGTCAGACATTTCTGCTACCACCTCATGGATCTGGCAGATAGAGCAGGTGATAGAAAGGTTTCCTTGTCAACTCTGTCCCTCTAGTCAAGTAATTCATTTCCAACATGTTTAAATTGGCTTCCTTTTAACTTTATGAAATGATCAAATTGAATATGATCGATCCATGCTGTAAATAATCAGATCTTCCCTACACGTGAGTCTATGTTGAAGAATGTTTTATTTTATTCTTCATTAATATGGTTATCCAATGTTTTAAAATTGTGGTAGAAGTCGCAATTACTCTCTGGTCTGACACATACTCATGTCAGAGACTTTTCCTTATTTGTTTAATTTTTTTTAAACTGAGAATAGATTCTGTTTTCTGCTTTGGTGAAAGCCATAATTTATCCAAGATGGAGCTATGACCTTTCTCCCAGAACCAGTTCACAGAGGCAGGAGTCTTCACTCACAGGTTCTCTGTCCTCACTGGCCAGTGACTCACTAGATGCCATTGGACAAAGCCCAGAAAATCTGTCTCTGTTTCTCCACCTGAGCAGTGATTCTCTCACCACCCACCCGTTGAAGAGCTGTGAGTGGTGACTCATGGGCTAGTTTTGATCTACTTCTATAACATCCAGAGATAAAGAGTTTTCTGTGTGTACATAAGTAGTGTGTCTCATAAAAACTTATGTTTTCTGAAATGCTTTCAATTAGAAAAAAAGGTTTGGCTGTAGGTTTCTGGATATTGTATCTTATTGCCTTTGCGAGTAGAGCCATCTTAGTATCCTAATAACTAAAAACAGACATTTATCAAGGTTTAAGCACCAGACACATTAAAATTTCTTATTTCTTTCCCTTATCTGGTGTCAGTTGTAAAAAATATGTGACCTTTGTAAAAGTACATAAAGGTATACAGTATCCTTAAACTATATAGAATACACTGTATACATTACAAGAGATGAGATACAGGATGGCTTCTTTTAGGTAGTTCTTGCCAAACAGTTTATGAAAATACAACTAAGAAATTTCCTGGAGAAACAAATGTTCCATTGTGTAATTTGGTTTTACAAGGGCTGAGACAATTCCCATCCCATCCCATTCCATGGGATGCTTGTTGACACAAATGCCTCTTACAGCTGAAAACTGGAATATACAAAGAAAAGTGCCACATATTTCAGTAGATGTTTCCTGATTAACCCATACATCTTGAATATTTTGATAGAATTCTGCAACTTTTGGGCAGTGAGTGCCTGTTTCATGTGCTTAGTTAATTGGTTCTTTTTGCTTGACTTTAATAGCTAGAGCTGTTGAAAGACTGGGCTGTCACGAGTGGCTGCAAGTTGGGAGGTAACCAAGCAGAGAATAAGTAAGCATTTTGCAGAAATGTTGTTGGGAAGATCCAAGCACCAGACAAATGGGAGGTTAGGCTAGACTCTCTTTAAGTCTCATCTACATCTGAGATTCTGTAATTTGTTTATAAGCTACTCTAGCCTGTTGAACTTGCTCAGCATGAACCCGCATGTGTGTAGGTGTGCTTAATGAATATTGGTTGTCATGAGGTTTCCCAGTACCTCACCATGATGTCAGGCTCAACCAGAGAAGCGAAATCACTGACTTGAGCAATCTCTGAAGCATAGGCAGAGAGGAAATCACCCACTTATGCTTCCTCAGACTGCTGTAGACCTGTGAAACCGAGGGCATTCAAAGGGCTATAGGTGTTCAGATCTTTCAAGAATTACTTACTTGTGACTCTTGGAATAATGGAGGGTAAAACAAAAATCCAGGCTTATGATTAAAAGTTCTAAATTTTCACCCCAAGTTTGCACTAAGTACCCTTATGTATAATGGTGATTCATGTGACCTTCTGGGCTCCAGAAGTCTCCCCACTTATGAAGCAGCAGAGTAGGAAGAACACAGAGATTAATCCAAATTCTATTCATCCATTCCACAAACATGAACCTAGCCCTTTTCCCATTCCTAGGGAAGATGATTTCTAGGTTCCTTCCACTAGCAGCATTCTTTGTTACTAACTTCAGTGATTGAATAGGGCAAAGCCAGTGGTTTATCTAGGATTTCCTTGACTGGAGTGAGGAGTAAACACTGAGAGATGATACAGAAGCATAAACTGAATCATGAGCCAAGGAAGAAAGGAACAAAAAGTTAGCAAACTTCTCAGGATATTCTAACAAGGGCTGAGTTCTTCCTCACACTGGGACAGTTCAGTTATTGTCTGTGCTCATGTTTTGAAGTCACACCTAGTGGTTTCCAGCTCTTGTACTGATAAAATGGAAATACTAACAATGAGGACTCTTGTGAACCTTGGAATGTCGGTAAAAGTAAAAGACTTTGGAAGTGAAAACTCCATCGGAGAATAGTTCTGTGATGCTGTGTGATGAGCTCATTTCGTTGCAAAGGAAAAAAGAATATTTTTGTCTTAGTCACTTGCATATTAGTAACTACTGGTACAAAGAAGGACTATGTGAGGGAGGGTAGAGCTATGCTTGAAATCCATTTTGTTTATGATACACAGTATGTAGGGTAAGAATGCAGTAATATATATTATGGTTAGAAAGTATCATAAACTATGTCGAGTATTTACAGCAAATTCTGCTGCTTGTGCAGCAAGTCTTTAAAGCTTTAGGGGGAAAAATCCACATACTTGTCTATGCTTGTCTGTCTACACTTAGTGTTGATTAACAGAACTGTAGTAGACCAGTACTGTCCAACTCACTTCTTGTCTTATGAGTAGAGATCTTTGTAAGTATTTTTTTTAATTATACTTTCAAGTTGAAAGTGGCGAGGACTCCTTAGGGGGTCTCTAAGCCTAAGATTATCAGTCTGGCTAAGTATAATTAAAAGACTGCCTTCTCTGTTTACTGCTGAATAATGACAAGAAACAATAGTGCAACTTTGTGAATGTTTGCTAACCAGATTGTCTGGAGATGACTTTGATTAATTATCATAGTATCAGTAAAGTATCTGAAAATTTAAGAAAGGATTATGTTTCCACGGGATCCAATGCACTCAGACCAGTTCAAAGTTAATATCAGAAAGCTCTGTTCTATCTCTGTGGTCCAAAGTGCTATTCCGTAGCTTTCAAACATCTCTCTTAACTTCTCTATTTTACCCCTTGCCATTCCACTAGGAAAAAAAGGAAGTTTACCTTGAAAGCTCGTCATGAACGTAAGTTTAAAATTAAATCGAATTAAGCAAAAACTACAGATTTTTTCCTTTCTGCATGAGTTTCTAGCTTTTAATGATCTAAATAAAGTCTAGCTTTATGTGGGAAGATTTTAGTATCCCCAGCCTCTCTAGGGAGGTGTTTTTCACTACTTCAAAAATTAAGCTAAACAGAAGAGTATTTTTACATGTCACGTTATTACAGTTTTTGAAGGATAAAGACTTTGTTCTAATTTAAATTCACTGACCACAAACTGAATAATTCATCCACTGGATTTGGCAAGTACAATGTGTTAGTGCTTTGCATGGAAATCTGAATGATGGTCTGACTCCAAGCCTCAAGGAGCTCACAACTTCATAGTTTGATTTGTGACTTACAGAGACTCGCACGAGACCTTAATTTGGAAGAATTCAGGCAGCTCCCGCTGAAAACTGTGCAATTTAGATCTGATCGGCACATAAATCCCTCATAACGTGAAGCACAATAGTTGCTTACTGTGACTTCTAACCTGTCATTACCTCAGCCTGGCCAGTGAGTTTTCACGTTGTTAGACTTCTCGGCCCCTTTGCTCATGCACGCGTATATTATTTCTCACAGAATCTTGCAGCTCAGAATGTATCCTGATGTCTTCTGTGAAATGAGGTAGAGATTTGTATTTGATGCCAATCTAATATTGTAAAACACAAGGAAACTTCACCCGTCCACAGCTACCAGGATGTCAGTGGAAAATATTGGTTGGCAGAACCACATTTTAAAAATACATAAACCTGTTGATCACTGTGGTTTCTATGATTCCTAAGTTTTCTTTTGTCCATTTCTCCATTACTTTTTTCCCTATTAGACAAATAGCACATTGTTCTACAAGGAAACAAAACAGGGTAGGGTCCTTAGCAAGCAGTGAACAGAACGCCTGTGGCCTCCTCCTCCTCCTTAGAAATTTAGCAAAATAAATGGTAAAATAGATGTGACATGGATCAAAAGCATTCCTGTAAGTTAAAGGGGAAAACTTGACAGATTACAATTGTGAACATCGGGTCGCTCTAGATGCAGATGGAGCTGGAGTGGTGTGTACATGCTTCTTCCTTGCCTGGGAGCGGAGGTTTGATGCAAGCCTGACTCATGAGACTGAAGCCTAGGAGACTGTTTGTGTAGGATCCTCAGGGCTACTTGCTCCATTGTGCTAGAGGAGTGGGCTGCTGTTTGCACATGATGAGCCGATCAGTGTGATTATGAGACAAGCTAGGTACAGCACAGGGCCCCGTAACTTAAATGCAGTGAAAAATTGGACAGAGAACAGAGAAAGCAACCAAAGTAAGTAATAAAGGGTTAGAAAGCTGGATATTTATGATATAATGAAGTGGAGGTGACCGTGAGAGGTGAGAGGCTATGTATATTTGAAAGGCTACCATAGCAGGAGTATCTTCCAGTTGTATGATCTCTCTGTGGAGGATAAAAGCCTATCACCCCTACCTTACCACCCTCCCGTGCATTGTTATTACATTTCAAGTAGATAACAGCTGGGCATAGTGGTGTATTCCTGTAATTCCAACACTCAGGAGGCTGAGGTAGGAGGATCGCCACAAGTTCGAGGCCAGCTTGGGCTACAGAGTGAGCATTCAAGGCCAGTTTGAGACAGCGAGACCCTGTCTCAACAAAACAAAAAAGACACCAAAATCCTTACCCTCACGTACTAAGGTCTGCAAAATATATGCCTTCTGCTTAAAGCTCATTTCACATCCAACAACTTGATTTCCATTAGGGTGTCCAGCCCTCTCCGTTTGCCCAGGAATGAGAACTTCTTAAGGTGCAGGATTTTTATTTTTAAAACAAGGACAGGGCTGGTTAAACTGGCACCAAGTTCACCCTCTCCTCCTCACATGTGGACAGACTTTGTCCTTTCATCCCTTTCCTCCCATAGTTTTCTCCTGAGTGGAGTCCTAGGACCAAATCTGTAATCTGTTTTATAGATAAGAATTTAGTTTTCTTTAATTTTTATTTTTGGCTAAGTAATGATTGTCTTGCAAAACCTGCTGCTACATCAAAGAGAAGTGTACACTTCGCTCTGCAGTCCTAGGCACTTTACTCTTCTTACCACAATATGGCTGTGGTTTCAAGCACAACATTTTGTAATAATCTTTTAAGCAACTTCAGTTCCCAGTAAATCTGTACTCGGGGCTGGGGATTTAGCTCGGTGGTGCTGCTGCCTGCCTCAAAAGCAGAAAGTCCTGAGTTTGATCGCCAGTACCCCCCCCCAAAAAAAACCACTGTAAATCTGTGCTCCATGGAGTATGCATTTTGGCCCTGTAGTTGCCCTGTCACCCTGGAATCTGTAATCTTGAGTTGGTGTATTTGGATGGGTGTGCGCATACGCTCAAACATTAGGAGCAAGTGGATGTGTCATGGGAGGCAAAGAGCTACTTGGTTTGTTTTTTTTTCAGACTAGGGATTGGGCTCAGCATCTTTTCACTGAGCTATATCCCCAGCCCTTTACTTATTTTTGATTTTGAGACAGAATCTTGCTAAATTGCCAAGTTGCCAAGGCTGGGCTCAACCTGTGATTCTCCTGCCTCAGCTCCCTAGAGTACTGGTATTACAAGTGTGTGCCACCATGCCTAGCTTGTTTTATTTTTAATTTTATTTATTTATTTATTATTTATTGGTACCAGGGATCGAACTCGGGTCCTTGCTCTTGCGAGGCAGGCGGCAGAATCACTGAGCTAAATCCCCAGCCCTTGTTTTATTTTTTAATGAAATCAAATAAAAGTTTATTTGGGGGCCGGGGATTTAGCTCAGTGGTTCTGCTGCCTGCCTCAAAAGCGAAAGGTCCCAAGTTCGATCCCTGGTACCAAAAAAAAAAGTTTATTTTGGCTTTTAAAACATCATCCAAATACTATAAAATATAATTTTTGAAGCTTCTTAGGAAGAGATTATTGTGACTTTATAATAGGTTTCTGAGGACAAAGATAGAAGTATCAACACAGTAAAATTTAATGATGCTTTAGAAATATTTAACTTTTATATGATTGGTATGTTAAATTCTCTACCCTGAAGATGCTGAGCCTGAGTATAAATTAGTGGGACAGAAAAACCTTTGCTTCATCTCAGCCACTTTTGAAGACCAGAAAGGGGTCAACTGTTCTAAGTCCCTGGTGATACGTTATCATTCATATTTTATACAACAAAAACATGATCCCAAAGAATACTAGGTAGCTTACTCAAAGATCTCCTAGTTTGTTACAATGTGAATAGTATTTAGGTGTGCAAAGATATTTGTCATGTACTAATTCTGGCCATGCGATAGTGATCTTCAGCTGGAGAAAATAAATCTAGAATTAAATAAAATCTTGCAGTCAGTATAGTTCATAGCTTACATTTTTTTCAAGTTGGCATTTGTATGCCACAGTGATAATGTTAACCTTGTATTGTTTTAAGAAACTAGTGTACTATCTCATACTTGATGATATCAATTTGATCATAATTTAGTTCACCTAAGACAATAGGAAATTTAAAAATCAGTGAAATACAGAGAAATACCACATCAAATTATTTTGTCTGCTATTTTACAACATGGCAGTTTAATTTTAAAAAGTGGTGGCACTTTGAATGTGAACGTACATCTTCGAAGGTAACTTCTCAAAATTATTTTGTTTTAAGAGAATAGGTTCCATATCCTTCCTACAGCACCAGTAACAAATAGGACTTATCCAGCTAGAATGATCTGTAAAATTTCATTCATATTCCATAATCACATGCTTGTCTGAAGTTTAATGATTGTACTGTAAAGCTGGTGACTAATACTGAACTTGCACTGTAAGACCTTTTAATTACAAGTGGTGGACATCAGAGAACAATATGTATGCTTGCTGTGTCAGAATTAAAATACTCTATTAGTAAGAATTAAATATTTAAGATTTAAGCTAAACGTACTCAACTAAATCATTGCTTATTTTTTCAGTTGATTTTGAATTTAATTTTTAAAGGAAAAATAGGGGGTGTGGAGGGGCCCTTTGTCCACCATTTAGGCCGGGTTCTCGTTTTTCTGAAGATAATACTGTGACTGCTGTCAGTGGAAATGTCCTTAGAACAGAAGCCTACTGACTCCTAGCTCGGTTTTCTCTTTTACACACAACGTTGAACTTGATCTTCTGCCCTTTTTTTCTTGTTGGTCTACACACGAATTTTTTCTTACACGATCTAAAATATGTCTCGCCAGGCACTTTACAAGCAACCCGCGCCTTGATGATAATCGGCATCTTGCTGGGACTGATCGCAATCTTTGTGTCCACCATCGGGATGAAGTGTATGAAGTGCTTGGAAGATGACGAGGTGCAGAAGATGCGGATGGCTGTCATTGGGGGCGTGATATTTCTTCTTGCAGGTAAGAGAGATTTGCTCCCTGTCTCCCCACATCTCCCTAATGTAATTTGAAACCTAGTATCCAGTTTCCTTGGGTTATGCTGGATTCATCACACTTGAAATCATTTCAGTCCCTTTCTAATCTGTAGATGTGAACCCTGTTTCATGTTCTCAATAAGAACCAAATGAAAACTTGACATTTGTCTGTGCATGGCAGGTGTGTTGTTTGTTAGAACTGGTCTTCTGAGGGGAAGGGAGAGGTTTGCTATGTAGTCAACCCTCTGGGACAATGTTATATAATTCAAAAAGTGCCTATGGTGTCTCCATAGGTATTACATGGAGAACATGAGGAGTACTGAGATAAAACATGAATATTGTGGAATCATACAAGACTGTGAAAGATGGATGAATAGGGTTATTTGAGAAAAATGAGGATAACTGTCCAAGTGGGTGGATCTAATTCCATAATAAATTGGAGAGAGAAAAAGCCAGTTGGAGTGCAGGTGGGATGCTGATATCCTAGGAAGTTTAATTAGATTAGTTAAGAAAGAAAACAATTCAGAAACACCTTGGAACAAAATCTTGATAAAACATGAAGTTATATTTTCCACAGAAAATAAATACATATTTGATGCTTTATTCAATTGTTGACAGATTCATTAGGTTAAATGTCTTTGAGAAAATGAAAGGTAGAAGATAGAAAATACCACTTCAAAGCTTTATAATAAGGCTTATTTTAAATAAAATAAATAATATATTGCAAAATATACTATACATATATATCGAAGACATTTATTGTAAATGGCTATATCTCTACATATCAATGTACAGTATATAGATCTAGCAACAGACTGCTACATATACTACATATAATTTGTAAATATATAGTAATCTGTTTTTTTTTTTTTTAAAGCCAACAGTGATATAAATTTGCTACAATGAGAGTAGAATTGGACCTTCTTTTTTATTGTTCATGTTGATAGAAGACCTGTAAGGACTTTAGCTCCACCTTAACATGAAGATTTAACATGTGGAAGGGAAGTGTGGGAGAGTTGGTGAAAGATGTGGTTGAAGTGACCAGTCGTTCAGTTTTTCTGATACAAACTAGCTCTTGTATGGAAAGCATGAATGGTGCATTATATCCAACAGTGTAATCTTACATCAAAGGCTGTTAATATCCTGGCTGCATAGCACCCTTGCTCTGCTACCTCCTGTGACACCCACAGAGGATAGAACCACTCCCATCCAGGCTCAGGGACTTCCTGTGGAGTGCAGGCTGCAAGTTCCAGAGCTTGAGCATGGCCTATTTGAGCAGCAACACACACACACACACACACACACACACACAAACACAAAAAAACACACCTCTGAGCTCCTCTCCCTGTCAGATCAGCAGTCGCATTAGATTCTGATAGGCTTGCAAAGCCTGCTGTGAACTGTACACACAAGGGATCCGGGTTGCTTGTTCCTTATGAGAATCTAATGCCTGATGACCCAAGGTGGAGTTGAGGTGGTGATACTAGCACTGGGGAGGAGCTGCAAATACAGATGTACAGCACAGAGATTTGAGTGCACAGAGACTATAATAAATCAGTTGCTTACAGACATATCAAAACCTTGTCAGTGAGTAGCAAGTGACAATTAAGTTGCACCTGGTGGCCAACTTTATAGTGGCAAATGACATGATCTACTCCAATTATTTACCACCTCTGTCTGCACTTCTTTCCCATTGTACACACTTCTTTCAGTCACAGCTTTGGTAACCCCACAAGCTAACTGTAGACAAATGGGATTGCTTTCTGTTAAGTATTGGGGAAATTAGACACGATCACTTTTTATTTTTTTTGGCGGGGGAAGAGGATTAGCATGAAAATGAATCAACTCATATTGGTTAATTCTTAAAATTACATGAAAAGAAGATTTTATCTTCTTTTAAATCTATTGTTAATCAACAGATAAGTGTGCATGTATTTATCATATACAACATGATGTTTTAGAGTATATAGCCTTTGTAGAATGAATAAGTTAAGCCAATTACAATGTGTTTGACTTCACATTTATGTGATAACACTTTTATATCCATTCTCTTAAAAGTTTTCAAAAATATATCCAGCATTTTGTATGATAAATATCTTGAATTCATTCCTTCTATCTTACTGAAATTTTGTATATTTTGACTAATATCTCCTTTAGATAATAAAATTGGAGGTATTTTATATTTCTTAAAAATGATCACATGGGTAATTTTTACCAAGTGACTTCTCCGGTGTCACTGAATATAAAATGTTCTAGGAAAATGAGCTTGTGTTTTATACTTTGATCTGATGTTCCACCCTCGCCAAATCGTACCAATGCCAAGTGTTACCTTGGCCAGAGGGGCAGTGGGAATTTGGGTATTCTACCTATTCGGAGACAGGTCTTGTTTGTCTGCTCTCCAGCTGCTTGTTTTGCATTTGACCCATCAGAAATACAAATTTTGATTTTGGTCAGTAATGTAGAAGAATTTTCACATTAGCTTTTGTAAGCAACTCTATACTAATAATAAAAAGAGTTTTATCAAGTATACCAAACTACAATACAACTCTACATTTGAAGGAGACCTTGAACAAGGTGAAACTACTGAATTAATTTCAAAAGATCATTATTTGTGCCAGTAACACTGAATTAAAGGTAAATAAGGTATCATAAGTAGTACAAACTATGCCTAACTCCATTCTAATATTTTTTATATCTCAACAGAACACTGGGCTCAATCATACCTAAATCAAATCTGTTGTCCCTACTACTGAAATAAAATTGTCAGCACTTTTGATGAGATTTCATTCTTAATAAATATATTCATGTTTAACAGGTTGTATTTTTCTGCCCAGTGTTCTGTGGCAATTCACAATCTTTTGTTCTGAATTTCTGTAGGTCTGGCTATTTTAGTCGCCACAGCATGGTATGGCAATAGAATTGTTCAAGAATTTTACAACCCTATGACCCCCGTCAATGCCAGGTAATGCTATTCAGGCATAAAATGGTTTATTCTCTGAGAAAATACCTCTTGTGTTCAGCAAAGTCTTGCTAGTGCCATAGTTTCTCAGATTTGCTTTCAAGAACCGTATGGAATTTTATGTCAAACGTGCATACAATTTAAATGACCTGTGACTCATGTGAAAATGAGTTTGATAATTGCTGTAATAGCCTATATTGATGACAAAATGCACTTCAAAGTAAAGTTCTAAGCTGTCTACTTCCCAACTCTGTGCTGTATCATTTTTCTTTTTCCCTTAAATATGAACAAACATGTTAATAAATTTGAAATTTTCTTTTTGAAGTGCATTCTGATGACTCCAGCACCTCGTTATTTATAATAATGCATTTTATGGCTGATTGAAAAAGAATAGCTCTCATATAATGGTTGACAGACAATACTTCACCCTCAACAGTTAAATTCACATGTACAACTATAATGCACATTTACTAGGGTATTGAGATACCACTCTAAAATTTTATGTTCCATCACAGCTATAAAATTAACTTTACAGAGGTCATCCTCCTTAATATTACAAGTCATGCGAGTTAAAGAGCTGATTCTTGGCTCTCATGTAACAGCACTCTTTGATCAGGGCCTGTGCTTCTTGTCTCACTGCCGTCACATCTTTAAAGCTTAATAACTGCATTCAGAGTCAAGATGCTAAAATGTAATTATTGTTTGTCAGTGCTGGGATGAATGAAAAATCTCAGTCTTTGCAGAGATAAGATGAGCTTCTTTTTAGTCACCCACGTATAAAAGAACATAGGCCATGGCGATTTTTGTTGGAGCTCATCCCAGAAGACTTACAGTGCTGGAGGTCAGTAGGCCAAAATTCTACCAACATGTGTATGAAAGCAATTTATAAATCTCTGAGCCTGATGCACTTATTATTTACAGTAACAGATGATCCTGAAAGCAGTCCAGGGAGGTAGAGGGGATTATCGTGATTTGAAAGAAAACACTGTGGGTGAGAGGGAAGTTGCTACCCAGAACTGCAGGTGTTGAGAGTGTGCATCAAGATACAAACCCAGGCCTTCTAGATCCAGCCTTTCATTCTGCATATTTTCCACAATCAGCCACAGATACCTCACTACAAATGTGGCATATTACTTTTTCTTGCATCCGCTTGATGCAAAATGTGGATGGGATGCTCAAGAATCCTTTTTATAAAAAAATAAATTTTTGCTTTTGGTTACTATAGAGACCAGGAATCAAGAAAACTCTCCTGGTAGTCTCCATCACATGGTGAAGTTTGCTTGTAGAGTTTGATTGTTACTTGATAGCATGACTTGATAAGCTTCACCCTGGGAACTATTGTTCATCCCCACTTCTAAAATATGTAAATGTGCTTCACAAGCCTGTATTGCACAGAAAAGTCTTGGGAAATAATTGTGCAATTAAGCTGATATTGCATGTCACATTGCAAATGGTCAATAATTACAATTTAAATATTCTTGTGTACATGTGCTTACAAACCATAAACTACCCTCCCGAGGGATTATGGGTGGAGGCACCCTTTTCAGTGGGAAAAACCTTCATAATACTATGTGAATGTAGATTTCCTTTCTCAATTATATCTTAAAAATTGTCAGTCATTGCCTAATGAATGCGTTGTCTTCCCCTTTCAGGTATGAGTTTGGTCAGGCTCTCTTCACTGGTTGGGCTGCTGCCTCTCTCTGCCTCCTGGGAGGTGCCCTACTTTGCTGTTGCTGTCCCCAAAAAGCAACCTCTTACCCAACACCAAGGCCTTATCCAAAAACAGCACCTTCCACTGGGAAAGACTATGTGTGATAGAGGCGGAAGGAGATCATCCTTTTGGAAAAAACAGAAAATGAACTTTGAAACATCATCATTGACCTGAGAGCGTAGACATTTGACTTGTAATCTGGACTGCGGTATTACAAAAGAAACCATATTTTTATAAATACCAATTGCTAGAAGTAGCCTAGTCTTATTTTCCCTTCTTTCCTCAGTACAAGAGGGAAGCCCTTTCCATTTGTATCACTGCTTCCCCCTGAGTAATCATACTCAAATGGGAGGAAAGGATGCTCCTTGAATATGTATAGATGTGTATATATGCAGGTTTTTCTATAATAATTTAGTAAAAAATATCTTATTCTCATTATGTTGGTATCAGCATACTTAAAATATCTCTAAAATAGAAAATATATATCTAAATTCCTTTTGGTTAAGAAGTTTATTGGTATATTTTTCTTTCTTCTCTCTCTACACATATACAATAGATCAAATATCATTCAATTCCCTTCTAAGATTTCAATGTCTTTGTCATAAGACCAAAATTTTTTTTACCAAGTAGTCATTCTTTCTGTTCTTCATGTGTAACCTTTTTGTATGCTTATTTTATTATTTTATTTTCTGCCATAATCTCATAGCACTTGCCTGTTCATGAGGTCCTTATTTTTATTTCTGACTCCTGAGTCTGATAATGCATGACATAGCCTACATTTTAAGACCAAAAGCCAGTAAGAATGTCTTAAAAACTCAGTGTGATGGGAGAACATCTTTCTTCATGACCTGATGATATTTCCCTATCAACCTTCCCACATATTCCATGTACTTTGGCCTCAAGCACTCTTATTTGCTTTGAAAATGTTTGTTTCATTGAATAGCTGTGCCACTCACCTGCATATTATGACACAGTTTTATTGACTGAACTTTTAAAGGTACTAAGTCACAGTTCCATACCCACCCCCCAACTATCTAGTTCTTTATGCCTCTTTGGCTACATTTTTTTTCTTATATATAAGTGTCATATAGTTTACCTTGCCCCAGCGAGGTGTGGTCTGTTTATCTAAACAAAGTGCTAGACTTGCTGGAGTGACAATCTGGTGACAAATATTCTCTCAGTAGCTGTGATCGAGTCACTTAATCTTTCTACCTCTTTTCCCTTCTGTTGAATTGAGATAATTAGGCTTAACCAGCTAGTAGAAGTAATGTGAGTGTTAATTAGTTGATATGACTCTCATTCCTTTAATATGAACTGTACCTAAGTAGTGTTTTTCTTTGCTCAGTTGGCAGTTTTGAAGTCACAGAATAAAACCTAAACACATGACTTCACATTGTCCAGTATCTTTGTTATTCAGAGGCCCATTGCCTTTCTGGTAGCTATGCCTAGCATGCTGTCAGCACTGGGCTCCATTTTCATAACTCCTCCTCCTCTCCCAGTCTGCAGAAGAAGCTATTTCATTTGAGCAAGATGATGTAATAAAAAGGGTGTTGGCTTCGGTGTCTAGAGTGTTGAATTTGAGTCCTGGTGCTATCAATTATTCTGAGGTTGGGCAAGATACTTGGTTGCCCTAGATATAGTTTCATCTGTGAAAAAAATAATTGTAATCCCAGACCTGCCTGTGTCACAGGGATGTTATCAGGATCCAGAGAGATAGGTGGGATATGTGCCCATGTGGCTTTATAAAGTAAAATATGCTATAGTAGGGGAAGGAATTAAGGAAATTAAGTGTTTGACTTTTCACATAACTGATAAAAGATTAGATTTTAAAATGGAGTTTCTTGTATTAACCAGCTTCCCAAGAGGGGAGATACTAAAGTGAAATTCAACTCACTAAATGAAAGGGATTGTGAGGAAGTTCCAATTTCTTCCATCGGTATGGACTGATGTTTTTGCATCTAAGTACATGTAATGGTGTAAGTAAAGGCCTAAGTGTTGGCAGAGCTGATAATGTGGGAGAGCTTTTGTACTACATCCTGTGAGGGGCTAAAAGGTGCTACTTGTTAAGTGTTACCTTCAGAATTGTTGCTTTTAGGTGTTACCCAACACTTCTGGGATGATTGGAGGATGGTACTTCATGGCAAAACCACAAGGGCAAAACTATGCAAAAGGCTGTGTGTTGAAGATTTGGAGCAGGTTATCTTTACTGTGTCTTCCAAGCCTAACAGTATGCTTCTAGAAGTTACCATTCAAAGAGCCTTTTCCACATTATAGATCCTGATGACGGATAAGTATAAATGTATGTGGATAAACTCCATACTAATCTGTAGTCAAAAATGATGCAACAGAATTTTTATGCCAAAAATGTATCCAGTTTTGATATTTATATAGCCTACTACCGTGCCTTGAAGTGAATAAACCAATAGATATGGGGGAGAGGGGAAATAGAAATTTGTATAAAGCATTACTCTTTTTCAATAAAAAAATTTTGTAGTAAAAGAATCCACGGTTTGTTTCTTCCCCACTTATTTCAAGAGTGTTACGCTTGCAAGAGTTGTTTGAGATAAATCTGATTCACCGTGCTCCTGAGAAAAAGTTGGGATGCCTCTGGACCCTAAATGTCTATCAAATATTTCCATGCCCCACTCAATAGACTGAGGTCCCCTCTCTCTCTCAGACTGAGCTCCTTTCCAGGCGGGTCAGAAAGAAATACTAGGAAATATTGAAGTATTTTGTAATCCATGGAGCGGGTCTACATAACATTGAATGAACAAAGAGTAAAAGTCGGTAGGCTAGAACTTTATGATTGTTTTTATAGTGAGTAATATCAAAACTACTCAGGAAAGCAGCTGATGAAAACTATTTACTCATTTTCTTAATATAGCAGTAACAGATGGCAGCTTTACTGTGGACTCCGAGGCGCTGTATGATGGGGAGGGAGCCAGACCACTGCCTTTAAATTAAACACATACAGCAGAATCCAGTGCATATCTGCAAAATTTTGGTGTCTACTGGTGAAGTTCAGGCCCACAAAACTTAAGGGCATAAAATTTCTAGGTGTTCCTAAAAAGAGCTGGAGGGGAAGCCGGACTGTGAATCACACCAAGCAGACACCCTGTGTGAGCTCACCTGCATCTGAGTAGCCTTATTCTGCAGACCCTGCCACTGTTCTTCCCTCTATTTAGTGCTTTCTATCCACATTCAGGGAAAACTCTACCCCCGGTCCACATTTTTAAGCCTGTGAATCCTACCACTATTTGGTGGATGTTTCCTCTTTTCCTTTAATTTTTTTTCTTTGCATGTAGGTCACTTGAACAATTTGTGCTTTGTCTTCCTCCTCACTCTACATATTCCCCATTTACCCTGAGAGTGGCCTAAAATGTCTCATTTACGGATCTGTGGAAACGGATAGAACTCATGGCTCTTCCGGGGTGATGAGGATTCAGCTTGTTGAGTCTGAAACAGGCAGAAACCTCCTCATGCTGAGCCTCTGCAGATCTCATGGCATCTTGAATACTTGACTTCCATTGGTAGATTTTTCTAAAATAGCCAATATTGGCCATTGGAAATGAGATATGAATTCCTTAAATTAATATCTGGTGGATATTGGTACAAGCACTGTGGAAATAAGTATGGAGGTTCCTCAAAAAACTAAAACTAGAGGTTCCATTTAACCCAATTATTCCCCTTCTTGGTATCTTCCCAAAAGAATTAAAAGCATCACACCACAGTGATATATGCACACCCATGTTTATAGCAGCACAATTTATAATAGCTAAATCTTGGAAACCCAGCCGATATGCCCATCAACAGATGAATGGATAAAGAAAACGTGGTATTTATATACACTGGAGTACTACTCTGCCATAAAGAAGGCAGAGACATTTTTAGGTAAATTTAAGTGAAATAAATTTAAGTGAAATAAATCAGACACACAAATTTAAATATCACATTGTTTCTCTTGCGTGAGAAACTCACAGGATAAATAAGAAGCAAAATGGAGGATAGATATTGGGAAGCAGGACAAACTTGTTCAAATAAGGGGAACAAAGTAGGGGAAGGAGAAGGGAAGGAAGGGAAAAAGGATTTTTTTAAAAAGACAGAATTGAAGAAAACATAAAAATAGATCTTTTATAAATCAGAAGAGGAAGTAGGGTTGAAGGGAGGGGAGGGGAATGGGGGAAAAAAGAATTAAGATATATCATGTTTAGGTACAAATTCCCCATGACAAATGTGATCATTGTATTAATAAAAATGTTTTTGTCAACTAAGTTTCCTGGTTCCATTAATACTGTGCTTCTCCCAACTATCTGTTGCTGCTGCTTGACTCTAAGAAAACCAATGGCCCCTAAGTGATTTGAGTGAAGAGACATTTGGACCAAAGGTGACAGGGTTCACAGAGGGTCTTGAGGGGATGAACCTCAAGAATGGCAAATGAGCTCCGATTCAGCAAGGTCAGAGACTCTTTTAATGTTTGAGGATGAATTTTCCCACAAAAGTAACATTTCTTATAATAAAACTAAGACATCATAATAAGGTATAAAATAGAAATTATTTTAAACATCGTATTAGCCATATTACATCAAAGCAGAACTTTTAGTAATTTGATGGGATCTGCTTGTCTTTTATTCTTCCCTGAAGACAGGCTTTGGAGTTTAACCTTTTTCTTTTTTAATGCAGAATCCAGTTGAAAAAATAATTTTGATTTCTGCTTTATTTTCCATCCAAGTATATGATAATATATTGTTACCAAGCAGACTTCATGAATACCCACTTACTCATTCAGATAATATTTGGCAGGTATTTCCTCTCTTGGTAGAAATGGTGGCCCTGGATTTCTACAATAATCATGACAAAAACTGACGAAAATCCCTCTTCTGTAGGACAATGCACCATAACTTGGGAATAAAGGTAAGTAAAATATACTTATGCTAAATATGCAGCATTTTAATCAATGCATAACATGTATGCAGAAACTGAATTAAGCAAGGAATATTAGGAAAATTGGGGAGGGTAACAAGTTAAATCATGTGATAGTAAAATTTCTCAGTGGGAAAAAGATGTTTATGAATTAGTTTAAAGGAGATGAAGAAGCAACTCAAGTGACTCTTGGGTGGGAAACAATATTGCAGAAACGGGAGGTGTAAATGCCCAAGCACAGATTCATGTATAAAATGTTCATGATATAGCTGGGGTATGGTGGCACATGCCTGTAATCCGAGCACTCATGAGGCTGAGGCAGGAAGATCACAGTAAATCTGAGGCCAGCCTGGGGCTATAGAGAAAATTTAAGACCAGGTTGAACTGCATAGTGAGACCCTGTCTCAAAATCTAAAAATAAAAACTTCCTGAAACAGTGAAGAGGTCATGCAGCCGAGTGCACTGAGGCACAAAGATGGTACTATGAGAAGAAAACATAAAGGGAAAGGTGGTCTAAAATGTGCAGGGTGTGTTAAACTATTGCAAGGGCTTTATCTTTTACTTCGGGTAAAAAGGAAATATATCGTTGGGTTTTGAGCAAAGAGACACAAGCTCTAAATTAAGATGTTATACAATCATTCTTCCTATAGTGTTGCCAATAGACTATAAAAGGGCAAGAAGAGAAGCAATGATTCAGGTAGAAAGTTATTATAATAATCCAGGCACATGGTGGCTTGGTGTTAGGAATGGATGGTAAGAAGAATTGGTTAGAATATGAATATTATTTTTAAGCAGAGCAAACAGATTTGTCTAATTGACTGCATGTGAGGACAGACAAGATCCTTTTGCACAGCCAAATTCAGTCTGCAATAAGAAAAAACAAAGATGCAGAGAAATGAAAAGGAGAGGGTTTTCAAGAGAAAGAAGTAATCAGACATTAGCTGCAAATCATTATCAAATTGAAAACATGATACAACCTTGGGACATTGAATTGGTAGCTGTATGTCACTAAAAGGTCAATAGGGCAAGAATCAAGACTCTTTTGACCACTACCAAGTCTGCTTTTATCATCTTCCATTTTCATGACATTTTCCCCTTAAGAATGTCTTTCCTGAAATCTGGTGTTTAGCATCCTAGCCTGCCCTGGAGTCTGATCCCGTTCTGCCCATTATTAGATCTACCCTCTCATGATTGTATTTTAGTAATTTAATGTGACAAAAAGCAAACATGTCAGCTCAGGTATATTAGGAAGCAGGACGCCAAAACAGAGTTAGAGTGAAAGAGACTGATTGCCAATGCCTATGAAGAAGAAGGGAAAGGGGAGAAGAAGTAAACAGGCAAAGTTCCACAAAGAGGGTGCACTTTTTCTGTAAATGGCCAGATAGTAAACACGCCAGACTTCGGGGGTCACACATACTGTCTATTGCATGTCTCTCTTCATTTTTATTTTGTTTTTATAACTTCTTAAGATTTACAAACCATTCTCAGCTTAAGCATCATACAGGAACAGATTTGACCTATGGGCTACAATTAGCCAGTTTAGCCTAGTCTACCGCATGTACAGGAGGGTGGGAAGGGAGAATTGCATAGGCCTGTTGAGCAACTCCTACAGAGCCTGAGGAATAGTACCTGAGGAGTTCTGGTTTAAAGGAATCATTAGACTGAAATGTCCAGGCCCTAGTACCCCTGCTGACTTAGACCTTGTTAAACTGTTCACCACAGAGTGTGGCTTCAAGAAGAAAACTGCAGCAGAAACCTGTCCAAAAACTGCTCCCCTGTGGCTTATTCTCATCAGAAGAGAAAAGTAACCAGTATATCCCCTCCTGGACGCCACATGAAAGTACTTGGAATTACCCAACTTCTGTTCATCAAAAACATAATAGCAACATGAAAAGGAAATCCAAAATTAGAATATGAAATATATTATATGTTAAACATGTATATAATATTAAATCTGTTCTTCTAGTGAACTCTAATTGATACAAATTCAATGGAAAAATACAATCCAATAATAAGACAATACCAACCAAACGTATCTCACAAAAGATGAAGGACATATGACCATTGAAATATGAAAATACTTTCAACCTTTAAATCTTCAAAATAATATCTTATTAATGAAATTAATGAAAAATACAAATTTAGACTAGAGTCACATTCTCATTAGACTGACAAAACTTAAGTCTGGTAGCAAAATTATAGTAGAGAATGGGGGTCAACAGTAATTGTCTCTTGATGCAGCTAACAAATTTTTAAAGGACTAATGTAGTATTGTAAACTGAAACATTCAAATTTGTATTAAAATGAAATATCTTACAGTAAAGAAAATGAAAAAATACACTCTTCATAACATAATTTTGAGAGAAAAAAAGCAAGTCCAAGGGGTGCAGATTAAACATAAAACTAGGTAAAATTCAAAACCAAGAAAAGAAAGTAATGCATTATTCTATTTTAGCTAAATAATACACCATTATAATATACAAAATAGAGCTACTGAAAAGAAAACTCATGGGAGTGATTCACAAACCATTCAATATACCATTACAACTGGATTACAAAAACAGTAGATGAAAAAAGAACTT